GGCTGCTGAAAGCAGGTATCTGGGTTTGTTTGGCCTCTATAACTGAAACACTGTTGCAACTCCAGCTCTGAAGCCCGGCTGGCTGAAAGCAGGTTTCTGGGGTTTTGTTTAGCTTCTATAATTGCAACATTGTTTCTTAGAGTGCAGCTCAGAGGCCGGCAGTGCAGGCGGGGAACCTTGGCTTTCTCCATCACTGGAGCAAGCAAGCCTCCTGTTCGCTTCAGCTGCCTGGCTGCCGACCGCCATCTTGGTTGGCAGTTAATTTGCATATCGCCCTGATTAGCCAATGGGAAGCGTGTCAGAGGTACGGTTAATTACCATGTTTGTCTATTATTAGATAGGACTAGGGGCCCAGTGCAAGAAATTCACGCACAGGTAGGGTCCCTAGGCCTGGCCGGTGATCAGGGCTGATCTGTGGGGTGATCAGGGGGGAGCCCCTGCAGGCACCTGCCCTGGCTGGCCTGGCACTGCCTGCTCGCTGGCCCCGTTCATATTTGGACTAATAGTGCTACTTGCATAGTATGTCTGTGTTTCCAAATGGACTTACCTTATTTCTATGCATAGAAAGCAGTTATCTGATAAATGGATGGAGTTATAATGGAATTGTGTTTCTGTCCCTTCTAGGTTGCATCACAGCGTATTAGCTCAGTGGACCTCTCCTGTTGTAGCCTGGAGCACCTGCCTGCCAACCTCTTTTACAGCCAAGACCTCACTCATCTCAACTTAAAACAAAACTTTCTAAGGCAAAATCCCAGTCCGCCCACTGCCAGGGGCCTCAGTGAACTGCAAAGGTGAACATGCAGAAATGGGTCATTCAAAAGGGGAGGGGTGTCAGCTTCTGGTTGTTTCTTGAATATTCTGACTTAAAAAGCTATGGTGTTTAACTTTCAGAGGGCAGGGTAATAGGACTTTATTAGTAAAGACATTAGCAATTCTTATTCTGAAATTAGCTTCAAGGTTCTTGCCTTTGAAATGAATGCTTTATGATATTCACTAACAGGATAGATTTGTATAAGAGGAACATTTCTCTTTACATCACTTTTATTTCTTAACCCATATACAAATGGGTCAGTGAAAAGTTAATGCTGTTTGGTACTTTACTGCTGAACTACAGGGGTTTGATTAGATTGAATTATTTCTTTTGAAATTCACGAAAGGTCAGGGTTTTTCCATGAGAAGACATTTCCGTAGGAATTTAAGAACTAAGGTTTAAATCCATTAACACCATCTAGGTCATCCTAGATATAGTGTGTAGATGTCAAGAGTCAGTGTTAAATGAATAGGGTCTGCTCCTTTGTTACTAGACAAAAGGCACTTTATTTGTATGTATTTAAAATAGATTTAAGAATTTACCATATTCATTTCCTTTTCCTTTTTTGGAGCAATGACCAGTCTTGATTCTGTAGTAAATGAAGTCTTTGATACATATATATTTGTTGTAAATACATGAGACTATAATTGCAGAAGGATATAACTTAAATAATGAATGGTTCACTCGTTCTTAAATGACCTATAGTGCTCAGAGATTAAACTGTGATAATTAATCATTGTGATTATGTGTTTATGATTTTTAATTCCAGGAAGAATCCTATATAATAAAGAGGTAATATGCAAATTAACCCTCATGCCCTCACAAGATGGCTGCCTACGACCAGGCTGGCAGGGGGGCTAGTGAGGGACAACCAAATGACTGAACAAGCAGGCTGCGTGGGGCGACCAGGCCAGCAGGGGGGTTAGTGAGGAACGACCAAACAACTGAACAAGCAGGCTGCATGGGGCGACCAGGCCAGCAGGGGAGGCATTTGGGGGCGACCAGGCCAGGAGGGGGGGCAGTTAAAGGTGACCAGGCCGGCAGAGGGGGCAGTAAGAGGCGACCAGGTTAACGGGGGGGGGGGCAGTTACGAGCGACCAGGCCGGCAGAGGGGTGCAGTTGGGGGTGACCACACTGGTGGCAGGGCATTTGGGGGTGATTAAGCTGGCAGGGGTGGCAGTGAGGAGCGACTAGACCAATGTGGGGGTAGTTGGGGGCAACCAGGCTGGCGGGGGGGCAGTTGGAGGCAATCAGGCCAGCACGCAGAGGCAGTGAGGGGCGATCAGGCCGGTAGGGGGGCAGTTAGGGGCAACCAGGCAGGCAGGCCAGTGAGTGATTAGGAGCCAGCGGTCCAGGATTGTGAGAGGGATGTCCTCCTGGATTGGAGAGGGTGCAGGCTGGGCTAAGGGGACCCCCTCCCCCCGTGAATGAATTTTGTGCACCAGGCCTCTAGTAATTCAATAAATGCTTATTACAAAGTTTATGCAGATATGTAGGAAAAGGGAAGAGTATTTTAATGGTCATTTTTGATAATTGTGAATATTCTTTTAATACTATCCCAAAACTTGACAAGCAATCATTTCTTAAATGTTAGTTCCAATGTAGAATCTAAGACCCTATTAGTGAACTTTTAAAATTGTTTTACATTAGGCTCTATTGGTTTTTCTCGCACTTTGAATGAGTCTTTGCCCATGCATCATTTACTGCATTATGTATTGATCATTTGAAAAATACTGGTTCGTTAGGTAATACAGATATTCCAAATGTTAACACATTTCATTATGCAGTTTCAAGAAATCACAGTTGTTAATATTACCACACATCTCATCAGAAAAATATTTGTGTTGGAATGTTGTCAAGCTCACGGTGGAAACAAGTTTTCCAAAATTTTAATTTTCAATTGAAAGTGTAAAGCTGTCCCTTGGCAGCAAATACTGTCAGTTGTTTTTCCTGAATTGACCTTTTCCCTTCATTGTAGAGGAAGTGTCTGCCAGATACCCAAGTCTAAATAACGAGTTTGTCAGTTATTCTTTCAAGTAAAAGTGGTATTCCATAAACATAGTGGCTTGTTTGGCTCACAGCTCGAATAATCGTACAAGTGTTCTCCTTGAGATGACCTTCATGCTCTAGTATACAGAAGTATGTACTTCCCATGTTATCACCCAGAAAATAAAGTTATGAACTCACAGGTTGAGATGTAATACAAACAACTTCCTTGCATCAAGGACAATTTTAAGTAACACTGGCATTACAAATTTTTGAAAATCTTTTTGCTGTAATCGCCTGCTAGAGAAGAAGTCAGTGACAGCTGGGACAGTTTGGTGCTACATTGAATTAATTACACAGGCAGTCAGAACTCCAGTAAGGATATTATGTTCAAGCACTTCCTTATCCTTCCTTGGAGCAGATAGGTATGATGAAAAGAAGGCACAGCAAAATCCTGAACGTAGGTTTTCATATGCCCTATGCATTGATTATAATATTTACTGACACTACTATAATAAAGTTACTATGATTGTTTTGCCAAAGGGTCACATTATGATTTGGTCTGCTTTGAGTTTGGAAATTATTTTGAAATATTTTTGTGTGTTTTACAGCAGTATATATAGGTTTTTGCACTTCATTACAGAACATCAAGAACTTTGTCTCATACTATTGAATCCTGGTGTCTCAGAATAGAGAACGGTGTTAAAATTCATGCAAACCAGTGCTCTTATTTTAGGCATGAGGTAGATGGAGATTTTAAATGCCAAATTCAGGTTAGTGGTCATTTTTTGGGAGGCAGATTGGTGATGGGATTAGGGAATGGTTTGAAGAGAGTTTCAGCTATGTCCATAATGTTCCTTTCTTTAAAAAAATTAGTGGTAAATATGACAGACATTAACGGCAAATATGACAAAATATTAATATTTGAAAAAGCTGAAAAGTTGGTACTTGGATGAGCATTCCTATTTTCTGTATTTTTCTATTTGTATATTTCATAATTACCAAAAATTTTAACCTAAACAAAAGGCAAATAAGAATGCTTCTATATTCTTGGGGAGGAGGGGAAGGATATGATGCTCCCAAGGAGCCAGCATTTGTGGACTAATTAAGTAAATACCTAGAGGGGTAGATATTTGTGCCATCGCCTTGCCTGTTCTTTCAGTCTCCTGATTGTCTCCCATTATCTTTGATTCTCCACCTATAAATATCTTTCTAACCCCTCCCCCCAAATAAATAAATATCTTTCAAACCCATCCCCTGTCTCCTGTGCTCCCCAACCCTCAGGAAGCCCCTGTCCACCAGCTATCAGAGGAAGCACTTCCCTGCTCTCACCTAGAGTTCTGCAGGAGCCTGGAGACTGGTTATCTTGCTGTCATTTTCCCACTGCAGTTCATTCTCTCTACTTTTCTTACCTATTGCTCTGAATTTTTAAAAATTTAAACATTTTCCTCATCAAACTAATAGCCTATATAGATTTAAAAAATTTTTTTTAACAAGCAATAAGACCCATAGTAAGAATAGGTGCATAGAACTCCAGCCTATCCTTTCACCTAAGTCCTGCTCCCTAGGCAACCACCTTTGAGTTTTTTTGCTGTTTTCCTCCATCTTCTGAAATATTATGTATATACTGCTCTTTAAAATTTTTTCATTATTGGACATTACGTGCTGACATATTACAATGGAAGGTGAGACTTCAACTCTCTTACATATGTCGCACCCCCCCCAGCCCCTCCCCACATGCAGAAACTGCTGCTTCCCCGTGCTGTGTATAGGTATTAATTTTTAGTTGACTTGGCGTTGGAGGGTTGACATTCTTTTGAACATGGAACCATGATTCACAGCTAAGGCACTTAAATGCAGTGATTCCATTTCCTTTGTTGTGTGCTGCTTCTGTTTTTCACTGGTGTGCTTTCCTTTTCCTCCAGTGTCCTGAGCTTTCTGGCAGCATTATGCCCCTCTCCTTAGCACCTCTTCCAGGGACAGGCTTCCCTCTGCGAGCTGGAGCTAGTCAGTCCTTGCATAGCTATTGTCCTGGGAATACCTTTGCCATTTTCCTGGGAATTCCCTGCTGTCTCTCCTTTGTGGGACCACTAGTTTTCCTATGTCTTGTGATTTTTTTCTTGGTTTACTCCCTCTTTTTAATGGAATGTCTTCTAGGATCTTCCTGAGAAAAGGGATGTGGGGGCAAATTTATTAGACACTATATAACTGAAAATAGTTTTTCTTTCACCCTTGATTGATCATTTGGCTGACTTCTAGAGAGGAAAACATGTTTCCTCAGAATGTTGAAGCCAGTAAGCCATTGTTTTCTAGCTTCTACAGTTCCTGTTAAAAAGTGTTGTAAGTGATCCGTCTTTTGTTCTCTTTTTTAAAATTAACAACCCCCAAAGGATTTTAGGATCTTCTTTTCATGACACTCCTTATTTCAGCCTCTATGATGAACACTTGATCTGAAAAATTATGTCCTTCAGTTCTGGAACTTTCTCATTATGTTTTTTGGTGATTTCCTCCCCCTTGGTTTTCTCCTTTCTTCCTTTGAATTCCTGTTAGTTAACGTGGGACCTCGTTGTTTGTCCTCTAATTCTCTGATTTTCCTATCTCTGTCTTAATGCCTTTCCTACGTGACAGGTTTTCTCTATTTTGTTTTAACCTTTCTGAATTTCTGCTGTCTTTGTTTTCTAAGAGATCATTCTTGTTTTAATTTGTTTGCATTTTAATAGCATTCTATTATTTTTTCCATGGGTGCATTTTTTTCTCTTTCTGAGGACAGTTTATTTACTTATTTACTTCCTTCTTGCACTGTCTTGATTCTTTTTTTCCTGTTTGTATAGGTGCCTGAATTTTTTGTTAGAAATTTGAGTGAACTGCTTGGTGATCATTAGCTCTCTATTCCTATTTAATGGTGAGTCACAGAAAAGTGAATCTGGTGCCTTGGACGGTGGGTGGGGCTTCTCCACCATACAGCTTCATTATGAGGGCTGTCAGGGCAAGCCT